GGGGGGGGTTGTCGATGAACAGTGCTGACCAAAAGTGTTGTGCTTGTGTCACATTTCTCCCCTCAATTTTAATAGCACTCTAGTTTTCACACAGTCATACTTACTTTCTACATCTCATTCACTGACATATACCAACATTTGCACCACTCAACAGGTCATTTTTAACACGGACAAGCAGGGAGAGGTGCAGGTGGGTCCTCTACATCCCATTTTTCTACACCCTGCCTGGTGCCAGGTTTGGCTGGGCCTGGGGATAGGTTGACTGAATCCCGGGATCACTGTTGGCTTTTTTGCTTTTTACCCCTTAGCTTTAATAGCTCATCGCTCCTTCAGCCAGGTGAGTTAAAACTGATCATTTATTAAGTGAAAAGGTCACACGAGTCTGCTTTTTCTAAGCTCCAGCTTCCTACCTAGAGCTACAAGCAGCCACAGCCTGAAAAAAAGGATATTTCCTCTGTCAACAAAAACAAAACAAAAACACCGTGTCTTGCAGCCAAATAAACTCGGGGCTCATCATGCACCATTACTCTACTACTAGTACTGGTGTTTTCAGCTACACTTTATCCGTAGATTAAAATTTAGGATACTAACTTACTGACATAAAACCCTTCTTTTTGTGAGCTCTCTCCTTCTCATGAGTTACAGTGCTTTCAGTGACAAATTAAAACTATTAAATCATAGTTTTTGTTAAGCAGCTTTGAAAACACCTGACTTACCTTGCAAAAGATCATGGCCTGTGCAATGGTAAGGGCCCCGTATAGATTGCAGAGTGCCGTGAACTTGTCCTCCTTCTCTTTGCAGTTCACATAGAACTGTTTGATGGTATCCAGAGTCTCCTCCTCACGCTTTAGCCGGATTATATTAGGTTCAGAAACAATTTGCTCTGCAAACCTCCACACAGAGTCCTCAAATGTTGCAGAGAAAAAGAGCATCTGACAGTTCATCGGCAGCTGTCTGCATAAGTGTGGAGACAAAGTGTGACAAAAAAAACACTTGTTTAAACAAACAACAAAGAATGTTAAGTCATTAGACCTCTCTTTTCAGTTTATTGTTGTGTGTACATTGGTATATTGAGACGGAGGAATGTTAATGTGGCTTTTGATATAACTGATTAACAAGTGTTCCCTGTAGTACATTTTTACATTAAAAGAAACATAAGGTTCCTGAGATAAACCAGACTGATCTTAGTGGAAAGCAGAGCAGCACGTTGAAGCTGGTACTGCAGGGTTCAAAACTGTGCAAACTATTAAATGTAATACAGAGATGGCATGTGTGAATAAAATATATTAATCAACAAAGAAAAGGCTGATGATGCCAGCAGTAAAAAAATAAATGAATAAAAATGACAAAGTTGTAGTTCATGGTGGAGCTGCAGCCTCTCCTCTCGCACTCACAAAAACACATGCAGCAAATCTGAGGCCAGTGACAAAGGGGATTTCCAGAGTCGAACAGAAGGGTTCACTGTGACTACAATTAGAATCAAAAGAGGCCTGTGGTGGAAAATTTTACATTTGTGCTTCCATAACATAACACAATTAAAATAAATTATTTTTTGTATGCTGGTCTTTAAGAGTTCCTTCCTGTGAGAACAAAGTCTCCATGTTGCTTGGCTCACATCTAAAAATGTTAGCTTGCCCTTTTTGCTGTGAATCATACTTTATATACGTATGCATGCATGTATATATTATTATCAATCTCCACTTTGATGGGCCACCTGCTCAACAAGTTTAAATATGAAGCGATCTTTTCACTGACACTCAAGCAAAAAAATGCTGTTTAAGAAAAAGTTAAAACGACAGGATTGTATGCAGATATAAATATAGCGGATATCATGTTAACTTGGCTGCCAGCTTACATCGTCTCTGCTCGCTCTTTAATGAGTTTTAAATGATGTGAAGTCCTCTCCATGACCCCTTTTAAACTCATCCCTGCATGCTTCAGGTTATCACACAGACACAGAGGAGGGAAAACTGCTGTCAGCTCTCGCAAAGCATTTTGTGACATCAGATTTAAAGACTGTGTTTATCTGCACACAAGGGTTTTTATTCTAATTTGTTCTTTATTAGCTTTGTCGCCGCAAGAAGGAAATCAAAGGTGTATGGGAGGAGGTGAAAAGACTCCTCTACTCACACAGGTGGTTCAATAAACAATACTTATTTACAGATGTTCTCATTGCGATTTTAGGAACAAGCACTGATGCTGTAGACTAGAACAATATTTCTTCTCGTCCACCTTCACTATTATCTTGGTAATAATGCTGGCTCTTTGCAGACTGCCATGTGTGTTTAAGAGGAGAAGCTTCAAATACAACAGGATCATCTTCATTCCCGCTGTGTTATGAAACTTTGTTGAGAAAAGCACAAGTTGCCTAAGCCGAATCCTTTTTCCCCACATCTCTCTCCCACAAGTAAAATCCACATGCATGTATATTTAAGTACAAATGTGAGTGGAACGCCTGCACTGTGGCATCAACCAGTACTGTCTTCTTACTGTGTTTTCAACACCAACAACAGGTTCTGTAGTTCAGAGGTATATCTTTTATTTTTAAAACTGGCAACTGAATAAATTTTTAGTGAAGATTCGTGCCACTTTGGTGGAAATAAAGTTACTGGCCACAATAAGCCAGAAGCAGGCTAATCTACCTACCTGATGTGCTTTTGTTGGTTAAGCTGAACCTACTATGACTGATAAAATGAACTATGACATTATAGATTATGGCACCAAATACTAAGTAATTAAAAACCTGCTTCAGGTGAACTGTACTGCATGCCATATTTACCAGCCAGTGTTTGTTATTGTAAAACTCTGGAAATAAAAATATGAACATAAAGACAGAAAGGAGTGCACCTGTGGATTCGAATGCTCTGGTCCCGGTGGCCCTGGGTGGCGATCATCACATCAGCCTCATCCAGCACGAACATGGTGATCTTTTTGGGGTCAATGAGCTTGTACTTGGTGCACCAGTCGTGGACTGTGCCCGGTGTACCAATGACAATCTGCTGTTGCAACTTGGCTCCTCGCTCCACTGAACACAATGCAGAGAGTCACGCAGTGAACAGACTGGTGACTAGAAATCTTTTCTTCAGAAGAGAGTACAAATACTATCACATTCTTACTTCTATTTCCCCGAATGGCATATGCCAGCTTCACATCTGGACAAAATTTCCCCATTTGCTCAATGACTTGACCAGTCTGCAATGCGAGCTCGTACGTCGGTGCGATGCAAAGGCACTAAAAGAAATTTTTTTTGACCTAGTGAATACATTTCAGGGTCTGATAAAAGGATACCAGCTGTCTCAAGAGATTGAAAATGCTGTGATACTCTGAGGATGTTCTGCTTACCTGAGTCCACTTATTGTCAGGGTTTACATGGCTGAGCATGGCCAGAGAAAATGCAGCAGTTTTACCTGTGCCAGACTGCGACTGTGCAATCAGATTCTGAGGTCTGAAAGCAGAAAAAAGTAGACATGAAGAAATGAATAAATCACAGAAAAACCTGATGTGCTGAAGATTTGAAAGGGTTTTTAAAATTTTGACTGCTTAGATTTTTTTTTTTTATCATTACAACAGGACAAAAGTCCATTTAAAAAAAAAAAAGAAAAAAAAAAAAATCACAAACTAAAGTTTTATTAAGTAAAAACCAAAAAAACCAAAACATACCCCATGTCCTCAAGCCTCACCTGCTGAAGCCAGGGTTCCAACACACAAAAAAATGTGCATAAACATGTTTATTTATTCCCACCATTGTTTCAATTATTTGTTGTCAGCAGATTAGACTTGTGACCCTTTCATCGCATAACAGCTGACAACAAGCTGACTAAACAACAACAAGCTGTTATAGGCTTACAAAATAATGCCTGCTAATGTTGGGCTTGAGTGTCCTATAATTCACCATTTCCTTCTGATAAACAGTTGTATTACAGTTCCACATCTTATGGGAGATTATTCGCAAAGTGTCCCAGTCCAACAGCGCTGAATTCGTCAAAATCGGCTAACAGCATTTATCAGAGGCAAAAAAGCAGTGCTGTCACAATACTAGAATTCAAAGTCAATACCAATACCCAGGAAATTATTCGATACCATTATTTAATGCCACACACAAGATTTTAACCCAATTTTTTTTGAGCCCATCCTGCAACACCATCAACCAACAACCACCTTTATATATAAATAAAGTAAAAACAATATAAAAGACTAATAAGGGCAGAAAAGTATGTATGTCCAGTTGACTAGTCACATACCATTATGGTAGCAGGTATAAATTTTGGGCCATTGTACACTATATGCAAAAAAGAAAATTAATGGTTGTTCTTTTATAGATAATTGTGAAGCTTTTATGCAGCCATGACACTAAACAAGTATTTTATTCTTTTTTCTCGACTCGGTCATTTAATTTTCCATGATTTGCTGGTTTGGAAGTCTTAAAAATAGAAGCAAACTTGGGGGGTGAATTGTCAAGCTGTGCCCTTAATGACTTTTTGCATCTGTATGAGCTTCTCAAAGGCACAGATCATCGTTTTGGAACCTCAGCTTCTCTTACATGTTGAGTTCCAGATGTTTCAATCAGGGCTTAGGTTTAGTCTCCCAAAGGCAGCAGAAGTAGATCCAGCCTGTTATTTACTCCATCTGCTCTTGTTTTTAAGAAACATTTTAAACAGTTGTCTTCCATTAATTGTGGCAACAGTTATGTACTTTGTTTTTTTTCATGGCCAACTGTATGTATGCATTTTGCTGGACTGTCTGTACAGCATTTGTTAATTTAAGGTTCCTATATGCAAGGATCTGTTAAAGAGTAATTAAATATTAAAATATTAATAAAATAGTGTAACTTTTTGGCACAAGGCACCATTATAAATGAACACAAGTGTGACATCCACACACATCTTTAAGATGAAAAAAGGCAAATGGTTAACATTTTTCTGAAATAACTTAAAATTGCTGTTAAATAAATCTCTTAGAATATTTATCAAGTTAATTGTTTTGGCACAAATTCAAAATTAGTGAATATGAACTCACAGCTGTGCCAGCACAATGGGCAGCTAGCCAACTAGCATTACCCAGCATGTCTTTTGGTGGTGTAATTTTCTAAGTGAGCAATTATCAGTATTAAAAATAGGTAATGTTTTTTTTTTTAAAAATCACTATGCCCCATGTTTCCCCTGATGAAGTGTGTTATTAATTAATTAAAGTAAGTTATTAATTGGTGTAATGTAGTAATTTATTTATTTCATATGATTAGAAAAGTGAGAGAAAAATACATTTAACACAGGACCCCACAGGAACCGTTTCTCAGCCCTAAAAGTGGTCAATAATGCAAAATACACAATAATGTAAACCACTTGAAAAACCACAGTGCACGTTTTTTCTGGCCACTGGAAATTATGACTGTACGCCCTTAACACCATTTGTTGAGATGACAGCAAAGAGATGTCCATTAAAGTGCCATTACTATCAACCTGATAATTTACTGAGAAAAAAAAAAAAACTACTATAAATTTTAAAAGAGCACACTACTGTAACATTTACGAATTTAAAACAGACAGATACTTGGGATTCTCCCCTCAAACAATTTAACTGTTTTCAGTCAATAAATCAAACAGATTTCTCCCTTCGCTACTAAAACAATGACTAAAAATCTGACTTACTATAGTGTTGCATTTTCTAACTAGTAGTCATTTTCCTTTTCCATTCATTTTCTTCCACTTATCAGGGTCATGGCAGGGCTGGAGCCTATTCAAGCTGCCACTGGGCGAGAGGCAGGGTACACCCTGGACAGGTTACCAATATGAGGCAGGGTTAAAACAGCATTAGTCCCATTTTCATTTTGTTTTCAACTGAATTTGCCATTTCAGTTTAGTTTTTATTGTTTTGATGTTCGGATACTTGTCAAAGGCAAGATCTAAGAGGTTCAGAATAGCAAATACAATAAAACAACACTTTGAGAAGGCAGCTTACTCATTATCACTCACGGCCTCATATAATTAACAAGAATCTCCACCAGAGCCTCACCAAGCTCAACAAATTGGACAAAACAAACAAACACTAAAATTAAATGGAATTCCCTTGTATCTTTGAACTTCATGTAAATCAACAAATACAAATTTGAAACGTAGTTTTTTTTATAAACAGACTTACGGCTGTGCCAACATCATAGGCAAAGCGTTTTCCTGGATCCTTGATGGTCTGTTAAAGCCCATATTGTACACCCCCTTCAGCAACTCAGGCTTCCTATTAAAAATACAAAATAAGGTAATTTTATAAAAGTAACACACAAAGCAAACGAGCATGATGGAAGTTTTCCTTGCAGACTCACAGTCTCAGCTCCTCAAAGGTCTTCACCGAGTACAGTGGAGAGTTGGGGTCCGCCTGCAGGACCTCCACCTGGTTTCTGTTCCTCACCAGTGAGCGGCGGATTAGTTTGTTCAGCAGAGACTGCTCGGCCAGGTTGACTCGCTCCTCTCCCCATCCTCCATTTCCGGCCTTCACGGGCATGATATTCCCTACACAGGTGGCAATACCAGCAACCACCATGACAGCACAATCATAAGTTAGCAGTTAATTTAGTTAGATGTGATTTTAAGGAGGAAAAACGAATAGTTAAGTTACCGTTTATGTCTCCTATCACGTTGCGTGGACCACGAACTCCACTGACTTTTTTGGAAAAGTCAAGCTGGTGAAAAAAACAAAATATGTTTGAAATTTTTTTGGCGCAAATAAGGCAGCAGTGACAGCGAAGTCAGCGTTAAGCTAGCTAGTTAGCACGCGTTTTGACCCAACAGTTTGGAAGTTGTTGGGTAACCTTTAAAAGTTACCTGTGAGGATGTAGCCTCCTGAACATCCACTGCAGCTGCCCAAGAGTTTTGGGACATTTTCAGGCAGTTTTTGTGTAGTTTTTTTTCCGAGACGAGCAACCTTTTTTCTTTTTGTGCAAAAGTTTGATGTCAGCATGAGCGATGTGCGTGAGCGCGCCGCTGTCCCGACCTGAACCAACCGCAACCTGCTGCTGGACCACGCGTGTCGCATTCACAAGCGTTGGAAATATTGACTATATTAAAACTTCAGCCCACAGACGCAACTAATCAAAGCAAAAACAAGCTGAGAAATGGTGCTTTTGCAGCTTTTCGTTTTGAAGCAAATTCTTTGACGTTTCTTTAGGTAAAATGTGTGAGAGAGCTTTTAATCAAGTTCCATCCACAGATAGTTTATAATGTGATAAATATTTCTAGTAACTGCGCCATTTTCATCTTTCTTTTTGTGTGATACAAGATCGTAATTTTTTCCACAAGTTTGGAGAAACATTTCGTTTGTTTGTTTTGAACTTTTAACGCTTAAATACAAGCCACGATACATTTACGCACTTTCTGAGTGATATGTGAATGCACCACAATGAACTTACTGACACACCCTTCATAGAAGATGCAACCAATTACTGCGCATCGACAGGTATTTTAAATTTAAATACCTGCTAAATGCAAAAATACAGCACTTTATAACGTAAACGTGTGTTTACATAGGAATGTTTTAGTGCTAGTTTACTAAATGCGACTATTTTAATGTAAATTAACATTCATTATTTTCAAGCTAAGGTTCGTGTTAAAGTTTAAAAATAGATGGCAACGCACTACATGTTTAAATTTAATTAAAATATTTTCTAAAGATCCATATTTTCTAAAGATCCTTGTTAAATTAATGTTAATTTAATCCGTATAGGCTATTAAGGGCACTTCAAGCCACTTAAATTTACATGTTTATATTAAAGGGTTTTTTCACATCGAAACGACCGTAAAGCGAGTCTGCAGTTACCAATTATATGCACTTTGGTTTACAAATTACTTATGTTTTTGATAAATTGATTTTTCATGAGCCCTACTACAGACTGGCAACCTGTACAGGGTGTACCCCATCACTTGTCCTATGGCAGCTGGGATAGGCTCCCAGGGACTTCCATTCAGCCCCAGTGGATGAATGGAATCAGAAACATCAGGGTGGATACATATAATTAATGTTGGAAAAGAAATGACACCAACCTCTCCCACAGGGGAACTGTAGAAAAGGGGAGAGGCCAAAGTGGTACCCCAAATTTATAGGGTTGCACCAAAGAGGAAGAAGAAAAGGATGAGGAGGGGCTCTAACTGATAATGAAGATAATTACAGGTTTGGAGGTCCTAAAAGTCAAGTATACCAGGAACAGTTTGGGGTTTAGAACACATTTTGTGTAATTATAACAATATGTAATTTATGACCCAGTTACATGTGTGAGATGGACGATTCCTCTAATTCATGAGTCAGTCATTTAAATAATTTTTCAGTGCAAAACTAGAGACGGTTTTATCAGCTTCTCAAGTGTGAGGATTTGCCTATTTTTTGGTATCTTGTGTCTTTAGAAAGTGGCCAAAATAAGCAACCAACATTTGGGATTTTCTGACATCTTATAGATCAAACGATTAACTGAAGGATTAATCAAGTTGAAAGATGACAGAAGCAGTTTTTATTTTTGCAAAAGAAAACCTCTGGATTGACGTGGGGTTTTCCTTTACCATTCATGCCATGTGGATGTGAGAAATAGAGAAAGAGAGGTCGAGAAACAGATAGAAAGGAAAGCACGAGGGAAGGGGGGAGGAGGAGGGAGCTTTATTGGCTGCAGGTTAATTCAATTTGGAGGCGGATGTTGAGTTTCAGCCAACCCACACGCACACACGCACACAGACAACGATCTACATGTTTGCAACTATAGTAAAATGATTTTATAATGACATATTAATTGTCATGGTAACCTCAAGCAGAAAACAGATGGATGTAACAGAGTGATCGCAAAACAGAGAGACAGCCAAACGCCCACACTGGATTAAAAACATTAAGGGCTTTCCAATTGCACCACAGGAGAGATTCTAGGTGATACGAGGGAGACCTGTAACGCTGTATTTCCCACCTCTCTGCTCCTGGTGTTACAGTACATGTCAGGCACTGATCTCATGTTATTAAAGAGGATACCTAACACACTGTCATCGAGGGCTTGAATGAGTGGGTGGTGCTTTGAATGGGGATGGGAAGGGGGATGTTTGGACCCTGTGTCTCAGTCCCTCTCTCTCTTTCTGTCTGTCTCTCTCTGAAACTCCAGCGTCCACACAGTCAAGAAGAGGAGGAGGAGGAGGAGGAGGAGGAGAGAATAAATGAAACAGTTTTTGCAACCACATGTTGCTGATTGAGCCGCTGCAGCAGCTACCCTTTCTTTCTTGTGGCCGCTGCATGTGTAGTTTCCATCACCTGTGGCCACACTCCTATTTCCTCTACGCCACAGAGAGAGAACAAAAAAGGGGCATCTGAGAGAGGTGGAGGAGGAGGATATCTTTCACGACAAGTGGACTTCTGATAGAGAGAAAAAGAGAGAGCGAGAGGGAGCTTACTGCATGCCAAGTTAACGCAAATGAAAGGTAAGATAATGAGAGATCAAAAAAAAGGGGATCTGCATATCAGATATGTTTTCATGCTGCAGAGTGTCTCTCTGATGGCCCACATCTCAAACAAGCCTGTCATTTGTTTTAAATGAAGAAAAAAGGTCAGCCAGTGTGATGATGATTAAAACTGCCAGTGCTGCGTCTCAGTGTAAACAGACTGCGTTTCAACAGGTGGTTTTCCACAGCATCCGCTCTCTGATTCGACACTAATGAGTTCAGAGGACGCTTGCATTGCTGATAGAAAATGTTCAGAGTTGATGGCAAACCCCAGAGCGTGGCTGGAAGATTCATGTGACTGAGTCAATCAGGAGAGAAGCATCCTGGGACTGCCACTTTTTAACACTAATTACTATAAAGTGAGGACCCTAAAGAGACAGATGCTCACTAGGCGCACTGAAGTGAAGCTTTTTAAATTGACTTTTGAAGAATAAGAACCTATTCCATGACAGTAATGCTTTATTTCCAAGTAACTTGTGATTTTATAAATATACGTTGATGTGATTTCTCCTTGTAGTGTTTCTTAGATTGACATTTCAGTAACAGAAAATGAATCTTTTGCAGTCTTGATTTTTCACTTTCTAATCTATAGAGTGACATATATGTATGTATAAAAATATCTATCTATCTATCTATCTATCTATCTATCTATCTATCTATCTATCTATCTATCTATCTATCTATCTATCTATCTATCTATCTATCTATC